TAAAATGTTATTCTCCCAAAATTCTTATTAGATTTGTATTACAAAATGTTATATCCAATTACTATCACTACTATATTTTCGTGGAAATTTTTCCTTTTTTTTTTATAGAAGCCTACATAATATCCTCACTTGTACCTCAAAATCCTAAAATATTTGCTACTTGACCCTTTTTAGAAAACATTTATTGACCTCTGAACTAGAGCCTTCAAATATGTTCATCGTAGCATGTATGTATGTATGTATGTATGTACATATACTAGGTAAAGAACTTTATTAAAGATTTTATTTATTTGACAGAGAGAGACACAGCGAGAGAGGGAACACAAGCAGAGGGAGTGGGAGAGGGAGAAGCAGGCTTCCCGCGGAGCGGGGCTCGATCCCAGGACCCTGGGATCATGACCTGAGCCGAAGGCAGGCGCTTAACGACTGAGCCATCCAGGCACCCCGGTAAAGAACTTTATTAACCTTGTTTCAAACTTTTTTCCCAGGCCTCTTCAGCTTAATTAGCTGCAGAGAATGAATTGTGTATAAGCAAAAACTGAAAAGACCTGCAATGTCCAACAGGCTTGGGCTTAAAAATATTAGAGACCTAGATTTTTATCAGGTCCATGATCAAAATTTTAAAAAGCAGTCATAATTACAAAATAGCAGCTCCCAGTAACTTCTTCAAGGTTTTTCTTCTTTAGAAGTTGACTCAATTCAGTTTGCTTCATTCTTGGAAGCTTCACCAAAAGTCTCCACAAGATCTGGAACTTCATCATCATCATCTTCCCCAGTAGCACGTGGTGCTTTTCCATCCACAGATTGTGTGGGCAGAGCTTCAGCCAGTCTCCTTAAATGAGTCACACTGTCTGTATCAAGTTGGTTTAAGATCCTGGGTAGCATTTCTGTCAGCTGCTTTGTCTCAGCATGGCCTGAACTGGTGAAAATATTTGCTGCCAGGGATGTCTACACTTTAGGGTTGTTAAAATAGATCACTGTTCCTTGGTTTGCAACATATCCACTTCTTCAATACCAGAGATATTGTTTACCCCTAACTTCTTTAAGGAGAACTGAAGTTTTTTATAATCTGCTGGAGCTGTTCTATGAACCACTTTCTTTTGGTGAGCAGTTCCTTTCCCACCAATGCACACTTGTGCTTGCAGCTTGGTGAGTTTCTCCTGGTTCATGATAGTTTCTTTCATCTGGTTGGAGTGGAAATGGGGGGCAGGGTAGGCACTCAGGGCATTTCAGACATACCAGCTGAGATTGAGATTAGGTGTACACATGCGGGTGGGGGGGCGGGCAAGATGGCAGCTAGAGCATGTTCATCCTAGTATTTAAAATTCCCTGTGTAATAGTTCTAAACCCCATGTCCTATCTGAATCTGGTTCTGTTGATTGGTTTGTCTCTTGACAGTGTGTTGTTAATTTCCTTTTCATTGTGTATCTCATCATTTTTGTTTGAAAGCTAGTCATTCTGCATAGGTGAATAGAGACTTCTGTAAACAATATGTTCGTGAGGCGCCTGGGTGGCTCAGTCGGTGAGGCGTCCAATTCTTGATTTCAGCTCAGGTCATGATCTTAGGGTCCTCGGATCGAGCCTTGCATCGGGCTCCACGCTCAGTGCAGAGTCTGCTTGGGATTCTCTCTTTGCCTCCCCCCCCCGCCTCCTCCGCCAGCTTGTACTCTCTCTCTCTCTAAAATAAATAAATAAAATCTTTAAAACAAACAATATGTTCAGAAATGGGCAAGTCTTCCCTTTAGTAGAGAGTATTGAGGTAATCATGCCAAGTTTTTTTGTTGTGTGGTTACCCTCCTTATGTACCAGGCTTTGAATTCTTCCGTTATTTTTTTGGTTCGAGTGGTGGCTGACTTGTTGGATTTTTTTCTGTGTCTGTTCTACACTCAGCTGTCAGTCTTCTCTGTGCTTATGTGTCAAAGAGGATGCCTTTCCATGCTTTTACTCCTCCCCCCAGCAGTAAACTGCTGTTACTTGTTCCTGGACACTTGCTAGCCTGGTAGTGGAGGGAGGAGGTGGGGGCATTCTTTGTTTTTCTGGCTCAGCCTCACTGTTAGGCGGGTCCTATATTCTTGGCTCTCAGAGATGAGGTCTTCTCAGTGATCTTGATTCTCCCCCAGCATAGGAAATCTCCAAAGGTCTGGCTCCTCCTTTAGGGGTAGACGTTATTTTATGTTCTCTTTACCCAGCTATAGTAGGCTTTAACTTGTGCCCTGAAAATGACAGGTTTGTGCCCTTCACCCAGTCACATAAGGTGGCAGTGGCTGCTGCTGGCCTGGGTCTTCTATTGGCTGCCTGGTGGGATGGGGGACAGAGTTGAAGGATTCAGGCCACACATCATGCCTTTCCCACAGCAGCTCCGGCTCCCCTCCCTAATGCTTGTACTGTAAGCAAGGCTTTCTCTGGTCTCTTGCCCTGCTGCAAATCTTTCTCATGAACACCTGATGGGAGTTTGTAGGGAAGGCCCTATGAGTGGGTGCAAGCTCACCTTGTGTCTGCAGGCTCCTAGAAGTTCTAAAGTCTTACACTAGCCCATGCTTCGCATTTGACAGTTCATTAAAAGATAACACAAAAGGCTGCCACCATAGATGTTATTGTGGAAATGAAGAATACAAAGATTGTGAAAAGGGCTGGTTATTTCTTACTGCACTGATGATTTTATTTTTTATTTTTTTTATTTTTTTATTTT